GGTTAAGAGCACTAGCTGCTCTTCCAGAGGTCCTGAGTTCAATTCCCAGCAACCACGTGGTGGCTCACAACCATCTGTAATGAGATCTGGCGCTCTCTTCTGGCATGTGGGCATACATGGAGGCAGAATGTTGTATACATAATAAATAAATCTTTTTTAAAAAGATGACTTATCATGTGTATGAGGGGTTATTTCTGTGATCTCTATATCATCCCAATTGGCCCATGTTTTAGGGTTTCTATTGCGACAACAAAACACCCTGACCAAAACGCAAGTCGGGGAGGAAAGAGTTTATTTGGCTTACTTGCCCATATTGCTGTTTGTCACTGAAGGAAGTCAGGACAGGAACTCAAGCAGGGCTGGGTCCTGGAGGCAGGAACAAATGCAGAGGCCACGGAGGAGAGCTGTTTACTGGCTTATATCCCATGGCTTTCTCTTCTTATAGAACCCAGGGCCAGCAGCCCAGGGATGACACTACCCACCATGGACCGGGCCCTCCTCCATTGTTCACTGAGAAAGTGTCTTACAGCTGGATCCCATGGAGACATTTCCTCAGCTGTAGCTCCTTCCTCTAACGACTGTCGCTTGTGTCAAGCCGACACACAAAACCAGGCCGTACAATTTTTATGTCTGTGTTTAACCTAGTATTCTACAACCTTACTGTTCTCTAGGTTTTGAAATAAGAAAGCATAGCTACAGCTTTGCTCTTATTTTTCAGGATTGCTTTAAATATTTGGATTCCTTTGTAGATTCCTATGAATTTTAGAGTGGATGTTCTATTTTGGTAGACAGTATGATTGAGAGTTTGATAGGAACTGCATGGAGTTATACGACTGCTTTGAGTCGTTTTGACATCTAGGAATACGAAACATTTCTTCTTAGTATGCCTTTTCATTTGGAAATACTTTGTAATTTTCTTGTGTAAGTTTATTTTTTACCTCCTTGGTCAAATTAATTCCTAACTATTTCTATCTTTTTGATACTGTCATAGATAGAACTATTTTCATAATTTTATTTCCATATTGTTCATTGTTAGTGTATGGAATATAGCAAATGTGGGAATGTGTTTCCGTGGTCCAGCACTTGCCTGGTATGTATAAAACTGTGGATCTTCTCCTCCCAACACAAAGAAGTGCAACTGAGTTTTGTATGTTTTGTTTTCTGCTATTTTGCTAGACTCATTTATTAGTCCAGCTTTCTTTGTATGTGAGATTGTTAAGGGTTCCTACATATTCCATGAGTGAAAAGAGATGGTTTTACATCATGCTTTCCTACTAGATGCTTTGTTTTTTTGTCCACTTGCTATGTTTAGAATTTGTGGTACTGTTTTGAACAGGAGGCAAAGGCAGACTGAGCACTGTAAGTTTCATGCCAGCCACAACTATATAGATCCAGTCCCAAAACCAAAATAAAAAACCAACCAAAATATTTTTTTCCAAGCAAAATCTTATCTGTCATTTGCATTTCTGCATTAGAGAACTGACTGCTCACTCCATCAGTGTATTTATTGATGGACAGCTTTGGATTTTGTGGGTGTTTAATTTTTGATTTTTTTTGCATATTCTAAATATTAACTGCCTGTCTGAAAAAGATTTCCTCTTACTCTGTGAGAGAAACTACCAGTCTGCTGGAATTTTCCTTAGCTACGCAGAAACTTTTTATTTCATGTGATTCCAATTGTCAGTTCTTGGGGCTATTTTCCTATGCAAAACCTTTTTCAGAAAATTCTTGCGTATATCTATTTTTGGAGTGTATGATCTATGTTATCCTGTAGCAGTTTCAGATTTTCAATTAAAATTAAATTAAACTTTTTTTTGTGAAGGGATCCAACTTCATTTTTCTGCAAATGGGCACCAGTTTTGCCAACATCATTTTTTGAGTGGATTTTTTTTTGTTTTGAGACAGTCTCTCTATGGAGTCCTGGTTGTCCTGAAACTCATTAAGTAGACCAGGCTGACTTCGAACTCACAGAGATCTGCCTGCCTCTGCCTCCCAAGTACTGGGATTAAAGGAGTGCGCCACCACACCTGGCTGTGCTCTTTCTTCTAAGGATTGTTTTGACTATTTGTGGTCTTTTGTGTTTCCATTTGGAGTTTTGGATTATTTTTCCAAGTTCTCTGAAGAGTGTCATTGTAATTTTGATAGCAACGTCTCTGAATCTACAGATCACTTTTGGCAACAGAGCCATTTGCACAGTATAAAGTATGCCAATTTGGGAGCACACAAGGTTTCTTTTTATTATCAGGTATTTTCTTTAATTTCTCTTTTTATTGTCTTCAAGTTTCCTTTTTAAAAGGATTTACATGTCAGCCACAAGGATTATTCCATGATACTTTATTTTGCAGGGGGCTATTGTGAATGACTGTGTGTGTGTGTGTGTGTGTGTGTGTGGGGTGGAGGTCTCTAAGTAGCCCTGCCTGTTCTGGAACTTGCTTTGTCGATCATGCTGGTCTCTGCCTTGAGTGCTGGGATCAAAGGCATGCACCTCCATGCCTCACGGTTGGAATGTTTTTCAACTCATTTTTAGTATATGTGAATGCTACTGGGTTTTGTGTGTTTTATATTCTGCAAATATACTAGAACTATTTATTAAATCTAGAAGATCTCTGGTGGAGTCTGTAGGGTCTTTTAGGTTTAAAATCACACCATTTGCAGATAAATATAACTCATCTCCTTCTTTTCCCAATTTTATCCCTTTTATATCTTTCATCTTCTTGCTTGGCCTAGCCCTTCATGAACTATACTAACTGTGTGTGAAGAGAGAGTGGGCACCCTTGTCTCCCTCCACATTTTAGGGGAAATGCTCTCCGTTCTCCCATCTCATTATAATGTTGGTAGACTTGTCATACACAGCCTTTATTGTTTCCAGGTATGTTCTGCCTGGTCCTAATTTCCCCAAGCCCTTCATCATGTCTACATGGCAAGCTCTGTCAAAAACTTACTCTGCATCTACTGGGAGAATCCTGTGAGTTCTGTCCTTAAGACTGGATCTTTAAGATGTAAGTTTTTAGAGACTTCAGTGAGATAGTATACAGTTGGCTTGTTTCTGAAACAAAAAAACCAAACTATTTTGCCAATCCCTGTCTTTGAACTGGAAATTTTAATTCATTTAATTTTAAAATAATTGTTTGGTAGGATGGACCACTGTTAATCTGCTGTACGTTTGCCTTGCCATAGAGCACTCTGTGCGTGTGTGTGCACGTGCGCACGTGTGTGTGCATGTGCCACTGACCCTGGAGCTGACCTACTGGCTAGACTAGTTGATCAGCAAGCTCCTGGAGCCCTCATCTCTAGTTCCTATACTAGGATTACAAACTTGCTGTTCTATTTGCATACCATTTTCTTGACTTCCTCTGTTTCTCTTTAGTTTTGAGATCATCCAGAAAGGTTGATCCTGGACGGAGGGAACTGGTTCCTGAAAGTTACCCTTTGATATCCACATGTGTACCTTGGCACCGTATACCCTGCCTCCCCAAACAAATAACTGTAATTATAAAAGAGTAATCTTCGTTTAGTTAATTTAATCTTTGTTAGTACTTTCTCCAGGTCTTGTTCAGAGATGGTCCGTTGATTTGTTGCCTTTTGAATGGGCCACAGTTGCCTGCTTCTTTGTGGTTTCTTGTTGCACAACAAACACTGAATATGGTGACTCTGGAAATCAGATGCCCCTTCCTCCACATTTTCTTATGGTTGTTCTTTCTTGGTGGGTGCTAGTTTGCTTGGTGGGTTCCCCAGCCTCCTGCTGTTTGTTCAAGGTCTCCCTTTAGCTCAGACTGGCCTGGAACTCATGACGTAGGCCAGACTAGCCTCAAATTCATAGTCACCTACTGCCTCAGCCTCTCTGAGTGGTGGGCTATAATGAAGAAGGGTTAAGTTCCATACCCAGGATCAGTTTGGATAAGCATACTATATGAACTTAGGATTTCTTGAGTCTTTTCTGAGGCCAAACTTTCCCTGGATATGAGCAATCACTTTCCAATGTTCTGTCTAGTTTCCAAAAGGAGGAAAAAGGAGGAATGGGTACAGGCCCTTTAAATCTAAGAAATTATTTCAGTTGGATGGGGGTACAGTAATGACTTCCTGCTTCTGTGTTTACACACCAGTGATTAGAAGCATCAATCTCTGCTGAGCACAGATCTTTGATGTTCAGGAAGATTCGCTTTTCCATCTGCTGTGGTCCCCACAGGCTCCATGCCAGGTGCCCTGGATGAGGGTCCAGTTGCTGTGCCAGGCTGGGTGGGGCACGACGCTGCTGCTGGGCTGCAAGCTGAACTTGCCAAAGTTAAGTTGGCTGTTCAGGCATTCCTCTTCGGGGATTCCAAAGCATTAACAGCCTCCAAGCTCCAGGGGAGTTACAAGAAGCCAGAGTTCAGCAGACCAGTGGTTCCCTAGGCAGGAGGCAGGTTCTGGAGCCGCTTACCCCACCTCCCGGAATCCCTGCAACCATTCTGTTTTTCATGGGCTTATTCTGGGTACTTTGCTTGAGCCAGTTTACATCGTCATGGTAACTGCAGAACCTTGCATTTGGTGGCTGCAAAACACATCCTACTTTCTGTCCCCTTCCCCAGTATGTCCCCCTCCCCACTTTATCCATGATCATTTACGTAGGGGACAGTACTACTATTTCCTGAGCTAACCATTTGTTTCTCTTGTTCTGCCTCCTTATTCGCCTTGGGCCATTTTTGTTGACCCTTGTATAGATGAAAGAACATCTTTGTAAGATCCACTGGGGTCATGAAATTAGGGAATTATGCTGGAGTCACATCCCCTATTGTCCCCTGCTTTGAAGGATCCGATGCAAGTGAAACAATGAGGGTTAAATCTATTTCTGTGACCTGTAGGAACAGGAGACAAGACAAGGAGAGGTGTGGAACAGGGGTGATGCTAATTAAACCAAGGTCAACCTTGTTAAGGGTTAAATCTATTTCTGTGACCTGTAGGAACAGGAGACAAGACAAGGAGAGGTGTGGAACAGGGGAGATACTGATTAAACCAAGAGCGACATTGTTAAGAAATTTATTTGCAATTCTTTTTTGCGTTTTTGTTTGTTTTTTAAATAACATCATTCCTTAGATAAAAATGCAATCTTACAGGAATATACAGTAACGTCTCACACAGAGATGGACCCTGAAGCTCTCCTTGAAGGTTTCCCCGTCTAGATTCCCTGGCCTCGCTCGAGGGGGAGAAGGCGCAGCAGGCAGGGCCTTTGACAACAGGATTATTGGATGATCACAAACTGTACAATATTTACAACAGTCGGACTGTGGTGTCGTGGAGTCTGGAGGGGCAGGCGTGGGATGTGCAGGTGTGTATGAGCGACACAGAAGCCTGTTCATCTTTCCGTGCCTCTCTGGGAACAGGCATGGCACATGACACAGGTTTTCTCAGGGACATGAAGTGGACTGAGTAGACACATGGCGCGTGGGGGATGGGCGCGGCGTGATGTGGACCCCTGACATGGAGGAAGGTCTTCCTTAGCAACACTGGCAGATCAAAGTAGAATCGCAGTATTATGGGAGAGGCAGGCAGTGCAGCGTTCACCCCTGGGATCTGCCACCCTGTTTCCTAATGGCTTCTTTCCCCGCAGGTTGCTCTTAACTGCTATGGTCACAGATGTGTGTAAACCCAGTGGTTCTCCTGCCACCCAGGCTGTTTGGGGTGGCAAGAACACAGCTCACGCCCGAGCTGGGCAGGGTAGATGGGTGCACGGTCTGGCGGGAAGGCTGAGAGGGGGTTTCAAGTCTGGGGGACGGGATGCAGGTGTGGATGTGTGCTGGGTGGGTGGGGCACAGAAAGGGACCCATAAAGCCCGCAGTCCCGGTGATGCCTTCTAAGGGGCCCTCTGCGGGGACTGCTTGCTCACAAATCACCTGTCCTCAATTCCCAAGGGTTCTCCCCTGCTTTTAACTTTGGTGTGGTTCTCCATGCTGGGAAGTCTTAGGAGGCAACATAGAAGCTAAAGTGCTTGCCCAGCATGCACAAGGAAAGACCTTGGCTCAACCCCCTGTACCTCCACACTGCTCCCCAAAAAAGGAAAAGAAGAAAAGAAACTACCCTCCAGTTCCCTATAGCCTCTGTCTCTCCCAAACCGTCTGTGTAATGACCCTGCTGAGGGAAGCAGCAGGGAAGCTTTAGGGGGCAAATTTGCATGAACTGGACTCATTTATGCTGGAGTAGAGGGCACGTCACCTGGTCTGTGACCTTTATACATTCATTCATTTAGATTCTGGGAAACTGGGGTGCATACGATTTCCCGTGGGGAAGAGGGGGTTACACATCTGAGACGGGTTGACTCTGGTGATATGACATTTCATATTTTCATTGCATTTTCTGGCCTTGCCTTCCTTATTGCTAGCAGAGACCTAGAAGAAACATAACAGAAAAATCTCAATTCCGACTTTACTGTCAGTATCGAACTGATTTGCAATGCTTGATATATCCAGCTACATACTCCAACTCCCTCTCCGAGATGGTACCTGGTCCTCCTCACATACCAGGAAGGCCAGGCCTTCATCACGTACTGTACGGATCAAATCTCTTAAGATGGCTGGAGGAAAAGGAGGAAAAGAGTGGTAGCGTTTCCTCACTGTAGATGAATAAACGGTCACCATTTCCACCCATGGAAACTGTTCTAGTTTCTTCCACACGTTCCCCTTCAAAGGTGTTCTGTGCTTTTCTGTTATAATAGGATATCACCTACACATGCACTGAGTGCATCCATAGCTGTTCTGGGACATAGAGCTACAGACTGAACAGGCTGGACATGCTTACCACAGTCCTCAAAAGATTACTACGTGGCCAACACCTCAGCACTTGTGCTTTAGGGTGTGAGTGTGTGTGTGTGTGTGTGTGGTGTGTTTCAACTGTCTCCCTAACAAGGTGAAAGGCTATGGCCTAAGAAACACTGTAAGAATCTGCAAATGGTTCCTTTTGCCTCTGTGTTCCCTTCACTGGGCTTGCAGAGGAGGAGGAGGGGGAGGAGGAAGAGGAGTAAATGCTAAAGGAAGGGAAGGTCCCTGTTACTGACGTCATAGATAGGGTGCTTCCCCCTCCCCGCCCACAACCTTCTAGGACACCTCTACCATGGCAGCTGCTGTAGAACATGGGCTTTGGGGAGGGAGACCCAAGTTCCCCCAACCACTTTCCCATTGGCAAACTCTTTGGCGAGGTATGGCGGAGGGGCCTCAAATGGTCAGGTAGGGACCATATATCTCTAGCTAGGTTGATTTAGCTGGAAAAACACCCAGGGTAGGAATTCATTTTTCACAGCTTCCAAAGCAGATTATGGAGCCATCGGCCTTTTCTAGGGCTTTCCATAAGACGAGGTGACACGGACGGGGTCAGGATGCACCCTTTCCTCGCCCTCACTCCCCTCTAACTCTCTCTGTGCTGATGCCTGCTTCCGAGCCAGAGCTTTGTTGAAGACAGAATCAACCAGGAATGCTTACAGCCCGTTTTGGCTTCCCTGGGCTCTGAGTAGCTCTTCTGAAAGCTAGATGATCTTTCCTCAGGTCAATTGTTTCTAGCTCCTGAATGAGGACATTTCAGTCACTCAAGGACCCAGGATGGAAGGTCCTTCCCCTTGGTGACATTTGAAATGTGGGATAAGAAGGCTAAAAGCCCTGATTATCAGATTCGACTCCATGCTTGATCTGGGTCCTTGATCTCTTGGCCTGCCTTTAGGAGCAGTGGAGTGTATCTCTTGGCCTCTGGACAGCAGCCACTTTCCTTCTACTGACTTCCTTTTTGTTCTCAAAAACGTGCTGATGTTGGCAAAGGAAGGGCTCCCTATTGCCTTCTGTTAGGGTGTCTGGTACCAGGGGAAGGTAAATGACAGAGTTGGGCCTTGGATTCGTCAGGTTACGATGGAAACCACAGCTAAGAGGGAAGACATTTACAAATCAAACAAGGACTAGGAAAGTCTCTCTCTTTTAACCTGAAAATATGAAGAACCTTCTAGGACTAGGCAGAAAGGAACCAACAGGACTCTGTCTATATAAAATGGCCACATATAGGAACAGAGCGTAAATAAAAGAGACAGCTAATCATGGAGATGAAAGTACAAGCCCTTCGCTCCTTCTGGTCCCTTTGGTCCCCAGCTGTGGGCCAATTCCCTGCCATCTAGGGGCTACCGGGATTGCAGAAGGCCTGCAGTTCCATTTAGAAGAGTCACTGGGAAAACTCCATGGTGGGCGGGGAGGAGACAGTCTGGCGTACTGTTCAGTGGCTCTCCTACTCACTGTCCTCTCTGTCCTGGCCACAGGCAGCATGCATTAGTCTTATGTAGGTGGTCATGACGCCAAGCATGAAAGCCCCACTGTGCACTGAACCTTCTTTCCTCCTAACAATAAAGGGCAGGGGCCCATTGTCCCTGATGGTGCCACTCTTGCAGGGCGCAGTGTATGCATGAAAGGCTACTCTGGTCTTCTTGGCCATAGAGGAGAAGGCAGCCTGTGGGGATGACTGGTGAGGGGCTGGGGAGTTGGGGAGCCACACTGGGCAGAGTCCTGGAAGGGGCTGCAGAAGCTTGGCCTGTACTGTGTGTCATTGGTCAGAAGACTGGCAATGCAGATCAAAGCTTCTACAGGCAGTCAAGGCAGCCTGAGGAGAGAGTATGCAGCCTATGCATGTCTATGGGTAGGAACAATCAAAACACCACCTTTCCCCAGGGGGCAGATGCATGCCAGAACCAGACAGCCAATCAGAGGGCTCACCTCTCCATCGTCACTCTAGGCACATCAACAGTCTCAGAAACAAGACAAAGGATGCCGTCTAATCCTTATATCTAGAAGCCCTTATGGTACTGAAGAGGATGCTGGGTCGACGGTGCACGGGAATTTAAGGAGAAATGCTGTTTCTAGACTCTGGTTAACCTGTGAACACTGCCTCTCTCTACATTTTCATGAAATAGCCCACGAGAGCATTATCACTGAGGAACAACCTTGCTGAATTTCTAGCAGATTCTCACATAATTCCCCAAATAGGCTGGAAGGACCCTGGGACCAGAAGATATCCTGTACGTAGGTAAATTCTGCGTGAATGGTTGAGTCTTATTTTCCCCAGAGCGATCTGTTCCTTCCATCCCTATGAGATCCCGATGTCCCCGCCTTCATCAAGATCCCTTGCTTTTCTGCCTTCCTGCTTTGGAGGAAGGAAAGGATAGTTTCTAGAAGGATCACAGGCCTACCCAGTCACCTTAATCTAGTCACGGCTATGGCTATCCATGTTTGGGCAGATCATGGCTCCAAGATGAATCTGTCCTACCTCTGCCCCAGCCTGATTGTCACCTCATCCTCTCAGTTAAGATGTGGGCTGTGGGAGTGCTTGACAAAGTCAGCCACCTCTCCAGAGGAGCATCCTGAACAAGTATCCACAGAGAAGGCAGCAAGTGAAGAGCTGGATGAAACATGCCTGATCTTGCAAAGCAAGAAGTGGCACGGACTGTCTTACCACACGGTTTTGGGAAAGATTGAGGGGAATGGGAACAAGACACAAGATATGCAAAAAGGTACCTCCCAGACCTTCCCACGGAGAGCAGGGTGAGGACTGACACCGGGCACACCTTTGTTCACTTTGCAAATGAAAGAAAACCATCTCCTCCCCAACCGCAGGTAGAAAAAGCACTTAAGAGTTCAAAGGGAAAGCTTGTTACACTCCAAATACAAAATGATTTACTTTACATGCAGCAAAATATACAAGAAGTGAATTTTAAAACAAACTTAAGTCATTATATTTGCTTGGCACAATTGCAATTCAGTTTTTAAAAAAATATTTGAAAAATACTGAAACTGACCTGAATTCAAGTATAACAGTTTCTTCAACAGAAACATTATCAATGCAATAAAACATTACACAGAATATATCGAAGCAAAATGTCTTCTTGAGTTTTTTCCCTTAAATTTTGTGTTTTTTAAAATAGAATTTTAATGCCGACACAACTCACAATCGTATTTTAAAATGGATATTATTGCATTGCTTTTGCATATCTCGTGGGACAGGAAATGCAGTTACCGATTCTCGTTTCAGAAGCAGAAGCGGAGACAGTGATTTGTTTTTGCTTTCGAATAGCCCCAGATTCAGAACTCCCTGCAGTCAAACCGGAACGGGGATCTATGGACTTTTGTGTGGGGTGGAGAGGACGGGGTGGAGAGGGTGCGCACGCACCGTGTGGGTGCACACACACACACACACATACACACACAGACGACCCACTATGGACACACGTGTGACACACAGATGCTCATACATCCTCTCTCTTGAACCTGTCCATACACCCAGCTTAGAAAGGAGCCCAGTTCAACCGCTCAGGCACGCAACACTTTATCTAACAGCCCTGTTACCTGCAGATTGTGACTGTCAACTAAACCGGAAAGAAAGGGGGAGGAAGGTGCTGTTACTTAAGGAAATTATAACAAATTATTGGGCATACACAGAGCAGGTAAACTTTCCTGTGGTGCTATTGAGCCCTCGCTCCATGGTTTCGGAAAAAGAGGGGTGGGGGAAACCGCACCATTTGAAGAATATAATAAAACAAATCCGACTTAAATAACGCAAATGTGGAAACGGTGAGTGAGGCTGCGCAACTGTAAACGCTCTTCTTCCTCCCTTCCCCGTGGGAAAGCACAACAAATACAAAATAATAAAGAAACCCAAACTCAGAAAACCGAAACATGCTAACAAGAACCGTCAAACCGTGAAACCAAGATCACCGAGCAGCAGCCTGCGCCCCCTGGCCTGGCTAGCTGAGGGCGGTGGTGGTGCGGTCTGCACCAGCTCCGGTCACCTGCGTCTACTCCTGCAGGGGACGGGTCCCTGAAGGGACCAAACCTGCATTACTGGAACCTTATAGCCACCTCCCCTACTTGGGGCACTGGCCTACTCCCGCCTTAGATCTCTGGGTCCCTGCTCCATCGAGACCGCCAGGCTCAGACAGAACATGTGCAAATGACTGTTTATACAAGCAAGGGAAAACACCCTTTTGGTTAGGGGGGTGGGGTCCTTTGGGCGGTGCTGCCGCGGGAAGGTGCTGGAGTCCTGCACCACGGCCTTGGCCTTCTCCCCTGACAAGCCGACTCCGCACACCGCCCAGCTCTGAGGCTTGTCCCGACAGCAGTGAATGAAGACGCTGTTCCGGTTACCTCCAGGTCACGAGAACAGTGAGGCACTTCTGAAACGAACCCATTAGGAACATTGAAACGAATAAAAAAACACCCGCGTCTGGTCAGTCCTGCGGACTACAGGTTGCTGACGTAGGCCCTGCTGTCCGGGAGCGCCTCCTCGCTCCGGCCTCGCCCCAGGGCATATGCGCAGCTTTCGTCCTCCGGGACCACAGCCCTGTCCTGCCCTGGGTCCCTGCAGTTCACAAAAGGTAAGAGGGTGCCGTTGGGGCTCTGCTGGGCGCCCCCACTGAGGATGTTGTCTGCGGCGTTCTCCATCTCCTCTATTGTCATGTCACAGGCGTCAGCCAGCTCCTGGGTGGTGACCTCGATGAACTTGGGATCTTGAGCAAACTGTCCCAATCCTTCTGAAATCAAGACCTAAAAAGAAGAAGAAGACAGAAGAGGGGCGTGGTCACTAGAGTTCCAAGCTCCGGAAGGGTGAAGTCACAGGCTGCTGTGAGGAAGAGCATCTGTGTGTACATAACATGTGCATGTGGGTATGTACGTATAGATGGATGTACGCATGCAGGTGCGAACGTGTACATAAGCGTGCATGTGTGTGGGGTGTGCATGCATGTTTGTGTGTCTGTATTTGTGTACTAAGAGGAGCACTCACAGGAAAGTAGAGATGTAGTATGGACCGAAGGAAGCGGGCATGCACAGATAGATCGGAGGAGAGAGCTTTAGGTTGGAGGATAGCCTATCACCAACGGAGAAACTGGCAGAGGGGCTGTGGACTCTGTTTTCCCACAGGCAGATCTTAGCCTGCCCTTTCTTTTCTCCTCTCTGCCCCCCAAGACATCCTTCATGTTGCCCCTTCCAAGAAGCCTTCACTTTTATTTGGTGCTAGCCACTGCCCCCACCTGTCTGCCTCTCCAGGGCTGCCCTTGTAGGACGCATGCTCCAGGACTCCTTGAAGAGGACACATGCTCAGTTTTTGTTTGCAAGGGCTGCAGGTGACCAACATGTGTCCACCCTTCCTGCCAGCTGCTTCAGTGACTAGCTAGAAGGAAGGTCACTAAATCTCTGAGCCAAGGGGTAGAATGCGGCAGCGAGGGCCGTCTCTTTTTCTCCCAGGCTCTTGTTGCTCCTCCTCTGCCCGAGTCACTCTCTCCTCACCTTGCCTGAGTTTTCTACTGCGACCCTGCCTGTTCCGGCCACACCGTGCTAATTTTGAACCTGTTTGTCTTCACCAGCACAGTGGGAAATCATGAGAGCCGAAACCCATTTCTCCAGATGTTTCACTACACCTACAGGCTCCACACCTAGGAAAACTCTCAGAGATTTTTGAGATGGACCGAGGACAATCAAGTTCAAGAATTAGTGTTTCTGAATTGGAAGAACCAAGGTTACTTGATTGCACTCCACTCCCAGGTCCATGTGACCACAGGACAGATGCAGCCTCTGCTTGGCATGTCCAGTGATGGAGGTTAGCTCCTTTACAGCCCTCTTAGTGGGGAAAGCCGTGTCGGCAAGGTCTCCCCTCCACCAGTTCTCCTAGGAGATGGTTTCTAAGGACCTTGCCACACTCATTGAAGTCTGTTTCAGCTTGTCAAAGGCCCATAAATGTGGTGCTAGGGTTGGAACAGATGCTCCTCAGAGGCAGAGAAATTGGGACAGTAAAATCTCTCTAAAGGAGGAACAGAAGCCAAGGAGGGAAAGCGCCATCTTAAACTTGGCCACGGGAAGCCCTGAAAAGGCCAGCTTCCTTTGGCAAGTTTCCAAAGTGCTGGGACGTTGTTCTGAGCAGTCCGGGTTGCGCAAAGAGAAGTCTGGCCCTCTTTGTAGGAACATGCTCCAGTACACGTGAACACTGGGAGGCAGTAGAACCTCTCCTAGGGTTCACTGGTCCATGCTTTACTAAGGGCTTTCTCCCTGTCCACCACGCCCAACGCTATCCTCTTGTATAGTCATGGTTGCAATTTTCTGCAGGTCAGGCTTCCTTCAGCATTTTTCTAGTTTACCCATTTGACACCCAGTCAACTTGGGAAGGAGCCAGGCTTCCTTCCCTGTACAAAAGTCTCTTGTTTTCTGGGGCCTCTCCCTCCCCAGGACCTTGAATTCACATACCGCTTCCACCAGGCTGCTGGCGCTGCCATGGAACTGTCTCCCTGGAGCTCCAGCTGGGCTGGGCACAGTGAGGGAGACCGGCCGGGCTCTCCGGGCCATGCTGCTGCCCCCACTACAGGCAGTGGTCTCATCAGACCAGGAGCTGCAGTGGATGGACGGGAAGCTGCTGTTGAGTTTCTCGCTGGACTCAGCCCCCTCCAGCCGTAGGGTGGGGATAGGCTGGAGAGGCCTGCCCCTGCTGCCTGGAGTGACAGGGGGTGTGGGACATGGCCTGGGGAACTTGGTAGGAGGATGGCTTCTCTGCAGGAGCGGGCTCAAACCTGCCACTGCCAATGCCTGTGGACATAAGACAAGGAGTTACCAGGAGGGTTCAGTCCTCTGCCTTCTGAGTAACTTTGAAGCGAATCTTTTTCCAGTGGGTCCTGCCTAGAATTCTCAAAGTCCAAGTCCTGTCTACCTCACTGAGACCTGGTGTGAGGTTCAATAATATCCAGAGATATTTTAATGAGCATTTCTTTCTAACACAGTGGCATTTCCCTCTAGCTTCAGGACCTTGCAATTAAGTATAACCAGTATCATCCGCTGTTTAGCGTGGCTCTGCCATCCACAGTCTCTGGATATAGTCACTCTGGCTTTCTCGTTAGGGCAGAGAGGGCAATGATGAGGCGTTCTCCATAGAGCCAGAGTTTACCAGGGCCCGCCTCTATGCATCGGCCTAATGGCCAGTGTGAAGCCAAGCGTGATAAGGCCATCATAAAGGACTAGACAAAACCGGTAGTCATTATTTTAACTTTTACAATGAGATAGGCCCATTGATAACGCCCGTCAATCTCAAGCGGAGTGTTTCCACTCCTGCTTAACAGCCGACTGCACCACGATTAATGATTCCCGTGTCTGCTTTCTCTCTCCCCAAATGCTCCCGAGAATCCTGAGGGTGACCCTGCTTTCCCGCTGCCACTGTGACTCCCAGCAGTGTCTACTGTTCAGAGGTGATATGTCTGTTAAAAAGAATGACGCTCTGTGGTGGGAACAGAGAGAACGGATTGGAGGTGGCACAGGGATACAGAGAGAAACCTCATTTCCTGCCCGTGGGCACAAGGACAGATGGACAAAACCAACTTGGAGAAATCTTTCTAAATAGAACACATAGTGTCCCTCCATCCTCCTTTTCTTCCCTCTCCCCAGCTTACGAGGGTTCCGAGCTTCTGGGGACCTGGAAATCTAATGGAAGCATAAAGCTATGTTCATGATGTTGGGAAGTTCATGACAATATCCCTATTTAGACAGTGCTTTGGCTTTGAGACGAAGTTGGAGCAGTTTATAAAATACATTTGTGAGCATGTTACCACACACATATACACATGCACACATGTACTAACAGAGATACACATGTACACACGTGTATACACAAGTGCAAGCATACACACACAAACACAAGCACATGCACACGTGTACACACACACACACACAGACAGCACAGGCCCCAAAGGGAGTTTGTAATTACAATGGGGGGAGGGCTCAGGTTTGGGTCCCCATTTGCTGCAGGTAATGTACTGACTGTAGCCTGAAGTTCCTACTTGTTCTATGTCACCAAGAGCGAGTGTGACACTGTGTTTTCACTTTCTCAGCTGTGCCACGCTAGCGTAGACTTCATTAATTAGCCTCCTTCGAGACCATCCCCTACCTCCTCTTGCCTTAGTCTCTTGGAGTGCTGTGATTAGCGCGACCACCATGCCCAGCTTGCCCCTACTCTTAACTGTGCTGCTGGCGGGTGCTGCCATCATCTCTGCACTACGGTGGGTAGACAGATGGCTGTGGCGCTCAGCTCCCAGGTCCCATCAAACCCCAGGTCTGACTGTCTCTGCTTCGGCGTGTGCAGCGAAAGGCAGTGTGTCGGGGAGGGATATCTGCGCACTGTAAGGAGAAAGCTGGCGAGCCCTGGAGCTTGTGGTTACAATATGAAAGGAACCCTTGCCAAGATCTCACAGAGACGTCACAGACTGTGGTATCTGCAGAGCAGTGGATGGCCTTCCCCAGGGGAGCGGATTCACAGAGACCTGAGAAGGGGAGACAGGGGTTCTGGGACCCCCCCATCATCCTAGGGGAGGGTAAGGCGTGTGGCCTGTCCACAGGTGTTAATACCTGATGGTGAACCAGATGCAAGGGCAAGGCTGTCTTCTGAGAGATGTCTCCCCCTTGATCCTTTTGTCGCTTCAGACATTCCAGATGGAAGGAGGCCCTTCGACCTGCAAAAGTGGATAAAGAACTAGAATCAGGGCATGGGTGATGGCACCGGCCTATGACAGCTCCGCCACACTTTAGATCTACAACATCTAGCAAGCGTCATGTCTTAAAGGCTTAGTCCCCAGTTTGGTACAACTGAAAGGAGGAGCCTCATGGGAGGTTTTCCACCTTTGATGATGTGTCTTTGAGAGAGATCATGGGACGCTGATCTCTTTCCCTCCATTATATTCCTGGCCAGGAAGCAAAAGGCACATTTTCCATCATGATGCTCCACCTTGCCACAGGCCCAAAAGTAATGAGTCAAACTTCCAAAACCGTGAGCTCAAAATTGTCTTTCTTATTTTTAAGCTGATCATGTCAGGTGTTTGCCTGCAGTGATAGAAAGCTGACCGAGAGAGACTCATTCTCAGGTGAGGTGCGAGGGCTAGTGTTATCTGTCTCAAGCTTTTTTTTTTTTTTTTTTTTTTTTTTTTTTTTTTTTTTTTTTTTTTTTTTTTTTTGGCCTCAGTTTATCTCTGAGGCATCTGAGTAGTCAACGTCTAGGTCCTATTCCAACAAACTATGTCTTTGGAGAACTATCTTTCTGTGGAATCTTTTTGTACACTGTGAAGATGTGTCTTTGCCAAGGTGCCTTCTGATTGGTTTAATAAAGAGCTAAATGGCCAATAACTAGGAAGGAAGAAGTTAGGCAGGACTTCCTCGGAGAGAAAAAAGAGGAGGAGATGAATCTAGGTACGCGAGAGACACCAGAGGACATGAAGAGAAAAGAGGAGGTACAAGATGGAAGAGGGGTAAAAAGTTCACAGGCAAAATGTAGATTAATATAAATGAGTTAATTAAAGTTATAAGAGCTAGTTAGAAATAAGCCTAACCTAAGGCAGAGCTTTCACAATTAATAAGTTTCTGTGTCATGATTTGGGGGCTGGTGGTCCAAGAAAGCCTGCCATACCATCTTGTCAGCGTGTACATTTACCAGCCCATCTCTAGAGGCTGCCTCAGTGGGCTCAGTTTCTCAGTTGTCCCTGGTGCCTGACCATTGCCACCCTGGAGGCGACGGCTGTCTGCATCTACAGGGCAGTCCGTGAATTTACCTAGAGAGGCAGAGCGGAGGAAACTCCTCTTCGGAGACTGCTGCACCTCCCTCTTGTCCTCCTCTGGGGACGTCAGCTGCCGGTTTTCATCATCCTGGTAGGAGAGACTGGAACAGAGAACCCTTAGCGCTGGCTCCTGAAGGCTGAGGGGCGCCACCCATCAGGACAGCTGCTCTCCCCAGAAGAAGTTTCCATTTTGCTTAGTGAAGGCAATGTCCATGTGTGTGCCTATACTACAGGTGTGGGGAGCAGGTAGCAAGGCGTGCTAAGAGACTTGTGTCTGCACTTCGGCACTGTAGTTGTTTAACAGGCCTGCATGTTGCGGCGGGGGAGCGGGGGGATGTCCCAGCTCTTGATACATATGCTGTGCAGGAGCCTTGTGGTTGATTTTTTGTTTATTGTTTTCCTGTGGGCTGAGGGCTGGAATTGCAGGCCTCGTGCATGCTAGACAAGTACTCTCACACTGAGCTTTGCATTTCTAGTTTCAGCCAGTGGAGGATCTCTTGGTTATAGAGAAGTAGGTAGGAAGAAGAATTCTAGGCCTAGCGCATTCTCTCAGAAGTACCTTAGATGCTTGCCTGTCTTTACATAGTAGTTCTATGCTGTTCACTTTGGTAACTCTTGATGCTGCCCCAAGATTCCCCCACCTCTCCAGTTCTTCTCTGTGTGACTATCTCTTCACTGTCAAAAGCACATAAGTCACAGTCTGTAGTGATCCTGTAATCATCCAGTCTGCAGATAGCAGGACAGTAGCAGCAATTAAGACAGTGGTTCTCAACCTTCCTAATGCGGTGACTCTTTAATACAGCTCCTCAGGTTGTGGTGACCCTCAACCACAAAATTATTCTCATTGCTACTTCATGATTATAATTTTGCTACTGTTATGAATCATAATGTCAATATTCATGTTCTCCAAGAGTCTAGGCGAATCTCAAAGGGATGGCTACCCATGGGTCTCTGAGAACAACTGCCCAGGGCCTCTAGTTGAGGACTTCCAAGTTTTTTGATGGTGCCTCATAATGAAAACTATATCATACCTATCCCCGGTATCAGACATCCCTAGCCATGTGAGACCCTGCACTTTTTGCAAGCCACTCTCTGACTCAATTTCTCTGTTACTGTAGTCGGTATTATTTTTTTCAGTGACTGTTGGCCATCACCCACTGAAGTCGCTCAGTCTTCCGTGTGAGAAGCACAGTTACATTCCAGCCCCCAGTGGTGTAGATTAGATCATAGACTGCCACCGCTAATACTCTTTTCTTAAGTTTACTTTTTTTCTTTTCTTGTAACGCTGAGGATGGAACACAGGACCATAAGCATGCCATGAAAGCATCCTACCACTGAGCTAGGCTTGAAGGCTGACACTGTGCAGCCTGCTTCCTGACTCCACCCCTGCAACCAAGCACAGTGATTCCAAGAACATATATCTGTGCAGGGGAGTTTGGGACATGAGGATCTCATATTCTTATGCTGCCCCAAGCCTTGCGTCCATTCCCAGCTAGATAAGCCCTCCCCAGTACATTTTCTTCTTACTCAGTTGTCCCCATTCTTGCAGATCTGACTTCTGCTTGGTCTGCTACACAACACCAGCTACACTGCTTCTGGGTTTGTTCAGATGTCTGTGCCCCTTGGCATTGGTACTACTCTGTGGGCAGTTGGTTAGAAAGGTCCACATTTTCTTCCTTTTCTTAGCTTCCTAACTAGTCAGTAAAATCTCCCGGATTTGAAGCTGGCCTTTTCAGAGTTAGGTAAGCATGCAGTAAGAATAGGAATCTCTCCATCCAGGCCTTTCTTAACTTTAAGGGCCCAAGAAGCTGGTGCATACCAAAGCACTTTCAGGAATGTGAAGGGTGTGTGCAGTAGACCTAAAAGTTTCACAAGGAGCCTAGAGAGGCACATACTTAAGCACATGCATCATGAACAATATTTACTCTTGCAGTACCTTTCTGTTGTCTTCTGCTGATCTTCTATTTTATTTATTTGTATCAATTATGATTAACTGCATATTTATGAGGCATGGTGTGACCATCTGATATATGTAGAGAACGTGGGATGACTATGTCTAGGAGTTAATGCCCACTTCCTTACACAGTAGTCTGCTGACGGCTGTGTAATAGACAGTATTTCTGGGGTGCACTGTGCCAGTTCAGCAGACATGGACAGTACGGCATGAACGCTCCATCTTTTTACATTACTTTGTGTTTGGCATCTTTGAGGTCCTTTTTTCTAGGCATTCATAAAATATATGCTGATCCAATTCTTAAGAGCACTGGTCCTAGCCAGGCGGTGGTGGTGCACGCCTTTAATCCCAGTACTCGGGAGGCAGAGGCAGGTGGATCTTTGTGAGAGTTAGAGGCCAGCCTGGTCTACAGAGTCAAGTTTCAGGATGGCCAGGGCTACACAGAAAAACCCTGTCTCAAAATAACCAAAACCAAACCAAAACAAACAAACAAACAAAAAGCACTGGTCCTTCTCACCAGATGGGTACTACAGTCACCCAGTAGATCTAGATGGAAGCAAAATTTTCCCAAGAGGTATGCCAATTGTGCCTTTTCTGGGCAGACTTAAAAGAAGCTATTCCAGAACAAGTTTATTTAAGCATCATATATGTCTACTGACTCAGACTAAGAAATACACCTATAACTTGATCTCACAGTTTAAGAACAATATTGAGAAGGCTTCCTGGAAGTGTTCTGCAGTGAGACCACTCAAACTGCAGAGGGAAGGTGTTACTGATACGCCACTGTCTGTCCCAGAGGAGGGGTCTCAGCACTGCTCCCGAGCCCCCACCCTTTCCCACACTTTGGGTCACCCGGGCAGAAGGCTTACATATCTGTGGTGAGCAGGCTGGGCTCGCTGCAGTACTCGGTGTCCTCACTCATCCTCACGCTGCAGGTCTCATCGGGGAACATCTCTTGACTCACCGAGGCCCCCTGGCTCTCTCGGGAGTGGCACCTGCAACATCCAGAGTGGAGAAAGGCATCAGCATCTTCCAGTCCCCCTGCCTCTTCCTCGTCAAGGAGGATGACCCTGGGCACAGGCAGAGATACAGTCCCACGGCTTCTGATGAAGCCACAGAGCCGTAGATGCCACAAGCTGTGTCGGGGCTGTGTGGGAGAGTCAGGGAGGTCTGAATTCTGCCTTAGCTCACTTACTCTTAGGCCCAAGACCTTTAGCTCACCCCGTGCCTCAGTTTACTCCTTGATGACACTAGACTAACACATGCCCTGCCTGAGCGGAGGCCTGGTCAGTGGACTGATTGTCACACAGCACGAGGATCTGAATGCCAGCCTAGCTCCTGCCTGGAGAAGCAGAGGGCACAACTAGCTGAGCGGGTGAGCTCCAAGTTCAGTGAGAGATCCTGTCTCAGTGGACTGTAATTGAGGACGTCAATCTGACATCAACCTCTGGCCTCTAAACACACACACACACACACATGAGCGCATGTACCCCTACACAACCCTGAACATGCACAAAGACAGAAGTGGGGAAGGCTTGGTTTTGAAGCAGAGTCCTGGACTGTGCAATTATCACAGGGCTGTGGACAGCTGAGCCTTTAGGTGACTGTTTGAAACCGGTAAGTCCCTGGATCGTATTCAGTGTGCCTTTGTTCTGACTCTGAAGTGAAGGCATGGGGAAGAAACTTCACATAGAGGGCTTGCTCTACGCAGGCAGAATAAGCCCGAGGCTGTACTGAGCCTGGCTATTTCCTGAGCTAAAGAACCTGCCACATTTGGATGTGACTTTGAATAGAATGCTGTTGCTTTTAGGACAGGTCCTCCTGCCCATTCGGGCATTTCTTCTCCAACTCTGGTCAAGTGCTCTTCCTCTCCCTGGGTGTGGTTCAGTACTTTTCTGTAGCTCTCTTCTCATGGACCCGGCATGTCAGGGCCCTAGGCCTATGGGAACCTACTGTTGTTTACTACACAGACACGCTGTCAAAATGCCTTCTAAGTATTTATATTAGTGCTCTGTTCAGTCTCGGTCAGAGACGCTTCTTTTAGCCCATGAGCAGCAGGGACTCATAGGTGAGTGCTGAGAATCATTTACTGTTCACAGCTCAGTCCTAAACAAGACATCTGCATCACTCCTTCTGAGGGGAGAATGGGTAGGAAGCTGAAGGATTCCACTGTTTGCTGCCTTTGCACAAGCCTGGGTCTATCAACATGCCATCGCCGAGGGGTCAGGGCTCAGGAGGCCAGACCCCTCCATGAGGAGCTATTGGCTGGGGGAGGAGAATGGGTAACCCTCAGTATGTGATCTTTCACCCGCTCTTATCCAAGCAAGCCCAGGTAAACTCAGCGGGCTACATAAAAAAGAAAGGCAGGAAAGCAGGAAGGAGACCGGTGGGAGTGGAAAGAGATAAGAGAGAGTGATGGAGGGGAGAGTGTGATGGAAATGTTATAGATGTGTGTGAAACTGTCAAAGAAAAAACTAGATAAAATCAAAGTTTAAAAAAGTTAGAAGTTCCAAAGAACAGTACTCAACTTCATAAAGAAAAGCAAAAAAAAAAAACCCAGAATAGCCAAAACAATCCTATAAAGGAACTTCTAGAGGCATCACAATCCCAAACTTCAAACTCTACTTCAGAGCTATAGTACTCAAAATAGCCTGATATTGCCAGAAAAGTAGACAGAAGGACCAACAGAACCAAATTGATGACCCAGATATCAACCCAAATACCTACGAACTCTTGATTTTTGACAATATAAAATATTGTCAAATATAAAATGGAAAAAGAAAGCATATTCAAAAAATGATGCTGGCATAACTGGATATCAACATGTAGAAGAATGAAAATAGAGCCGTATCTATTGCTATGTACAAAACTCAAGTCCAAACGTATCAAAGACTTCAACATAAAACCAACCACACTGAATCTCACAGAAGAGAAAGTGGGAAGTACACTTGAACATATTGGCACAGGAGAGCAAGTATATATACTTGCTAAATATAACCCCAGTAGCACAGACACTGAGAGAAACAATTAATGAATGGGACTTCCTGAAACTGAGAAGTTTCTGTAAAGCAAAAGACATGGTCAACAAGACAAAATGGCAGTCTGTAGAATGGGAAAAGATCTTCACTAACCCCACATCAGACAGAAGCCTGATCTCCAAAATATACAAAGAACTCAAGAAGTTGGTCATCAAAAGAACAAATAATCCACTAAAAAATGGAGTACAGACCTAAACAGAGAACTCTCAACAGAGGAATCTAAAATGGCTGAAATACACTTAAGAAAATGCTCAACATCCTTAGTCATCAGAGAAATGCAAATCAAAACAACTCTGAGATTCCATCTTACACCTGTAAGAATGGCCAAGTTCAAAAACACTGATGACAACTTATGCTGGAGAGGTTGTGGGGTAAAGGGAACACTCCTGCATTGCTGGTGGGAGTGCAAGCTAGTACAGCCCCTTTGGATTTCAGTATGATGATTTCTCAGAAAATTAGGAAACAACCTTCCTCAAGACCAAGTAATACCACTTTTGGGTATATACCCAAAGTATGTTCAGTCATGCCACAAGACATGTGCTCAACTATGTTCATAGCAACTTTGTTTGTCATATTCAGAACCTGGAAACAACCTAAATGCACCTCAGTTGAAGAATGGATAAGGAAAATGTGGTACATTTACACAATGGAGTACTACACAGCAGAAAAAAAATGACATCTTGAAATTTGTGGGCAAATGGATAAATCTAGAAAACATCATATTGAGTGAGGTAACCCATACCCAGAAAGACAAATATCATATGTACTCACTCATACGTGGCTTTTAGACATAAAGCAAAGAAAAACCAGCCTACAATTCACAATCTCAGAGAACCTAGACAACAATGAGGACCATAAGAGAGACATACTTGGATCTAAGGTAAATGGGAAGTAGAAAAAGACAAGACCTCCTGAGTAAATGGGGGGCATAGGGACCATGGGAGAGGGTAGAAGAAGAGGGGGGAGGAAGGGAGAGGAGCAGAGAAAAATATATAGCTCAATTAAAAATAATTTAAAAAAGTTAGAGGTTTTTGCAAGGCATAGGAGGGAAGAGCTGGTACTAGGACTGAATCCTCAAAGGTGGGACAGAAGTGGCGTTGCAGAAAAGGGTGGGGCCACAAGAACAGGCATGGGACAACTGCTTCATCTTAATAATGCCCTAGGTGGAGCCAACCGTCAGAGGAGCACACACTCCCTGTGTGTAGAGATCTCCTGGGTCCAAGGGTGAGCCTGCAATGTTGTTGGGTGGCTAGAGCAGCTAGTGTCCCAGAGTATATACCAGGTAGGATGGATGTCATGGCAATAACCATTCAAATGCATGGGCCATGGAGACTTGTATGTAGCCACCTAGAAATGGGATGGTGTGAAAACCAGCGAGCAGGTATGCTGCTCTGTGGGTAGCAGATCAGGACACTTGGGGTTTGAAGAGATGCCCGAAATTCTTGATTATATTCTAAGCCAGAAGGCAAGGGAAAGGACAGTCATACTGTGAACTGGTAGGCTGGAAGGGCAGCTAGGTAAGGGTGATGAAGAAGGTGCAGAGGGTGTCCTCTCCCATCCTGGCTCAGGAGCCTACAGCCGATGGAGCAGGTAAAGAGTGGACCTGCTGCAGCCATGTCCTGCTTCCTTAAGCTTTAGAGGTGGATATATTGCCCAATCTCATCTAGATGAAAAGCCAGGCTTAGGGACCTGGGAAAGGGCAGGGGCTGGTTTGTTGCACAGGCCCAAGTCACACGTTGTGGGGGCGGTCACAGGTCAACATGCCGAGGAGGGATGAGGGGGAAAGGACTGTCAGAGGTGTGGCATCTCAGAAGACATCTGGGAAACAGAGTAACGTCATCATTGTCATTGCCGTGTGTAAGCAGGAGCGGATGGGGGGTGACAAGCTGGCCCCAACCAGCTCTAGTTCAGAGCAGCAGTCTCCACCAGAGATTGGTGGCTGCGCAGAAGGCAGAGGGATCTAAGTCTGTCTTTCCTGGTGTGATCTGGCTAGGGCGAGTGAAGCCTCATGCCCAGGCCTAACCCCCTGCTTACCTCTTAGAGCTGAGCTTCCAAGCTGCCTCCTGTACCCGGACAGCAGGGGACAAGGGAGGCCCATGGCCCTCCACAGTGCTGACCGTGCTGGAGTAGCCAGTGGGGTGGGGGAAGCGACCCAGGGCAGTGTTGTTGGCGTTGTTGATGTTGGCATTGGAGCCTGTGGATGAGTAGCTGCTGGGGGTGAAAGTGGAGTCCACCAGTTTCTCATGGGATGGCGACTCCGTGTCGCCCTGGCTGTTTCCCGTCTTGTTGATGTGCAGCGGGCGCTGGGTCGTGAAGGTCTGGGGAAAGTTGCTTCTGCTGTCGCTCTGATAGTAGCTGACGTGGTTGCCAAACAGGCCTCCAGCCCTCTGTAGACAAGAGAGAGGAGTAGGTGGAGAAGGCTTCTCCGCATTCTCTCTCTCCTCCCTCCCTCACCCCTTCTAAGAAGCACAGACTGCAGGAAGTCATCTTGCCCTCCAAAAGAGGCACACACTCTGGGCACATGGGAGAGGGAGGACTTAGATGCTCAAGGTTCCACAGTTCCCTCTACATGTAACACCATGATATGAATTCCCTCATGGGCCTGGGCAGGCAAGAGGTTGCTGGTCTAGAAGCCTCCCTGGAAGTCTGTTCCTAAGGGAACACCAGAGACTGAGGCTGGGTTTCAAGGACAGGTCTAAGATGAGTGTCCTTCACAGAAACCAGCTGCTTAGCTTGGTGGAGCTCGCTGTGGGTGCTGAGGGGTGGGAAGAAGGAACGGAAGAGGTGAACCAGATTGTTTTAGTGGAAACACAACTGGTTTGTGGAGTGACAAGCTGTATCGGGCAAGTTGAAACTAAGAGGGAAGACTTTACTGTATTGATTATATCACGGCTTCCTTTCCTGTAAGGGTTCTTTGAGATTCAAAATCAGCAACAAGTATTTTTCTCCAATATTCCTTCTTTGTCCTGGAGCAAGGGGTCTGGGGAATAGTGGTTGGCAAGGCTTGTCTAATGTGGTATCTGAAGGTCCTCGGGAGCCATACCTGGGAACTGAGATTGGCAGGAACTAGAAGGGAGGGAGTCGGATGGGAGACCATGGGTTCATGGCCCAGCAGTGTGTGAATTTTTGCACTGCCCTAATGTTACTGCAGGGAAAAAGCAAGAGGCCTCGAGGCCTGGAGGGGACTCTGTGGCTTGGAGATCACATGCTCCATCTTAACAAGGCAACCACAGCTGTCCAGCTGTGCCTAGGAACCCACACCTAACACAGCCACTTAATCTGATTTCTTCTCTCCAAGAAAAGTCAAAAGTTTGTATTTTTATTTAGGCAGGCCAAATATTCAAATAGTGGTGAATAAAATAGATTTTCAGATTATAAGAAACCCAGAGTTCCTACTCCACACCATCTGATGAGAAACTTCTCCCAGAAAATGTCTTTACAGAAGCAGACATCCTCTGTTCTCTGAGAGTTGGCCATATTTTGAGCTGCTGTGTCCTAGGAGGAAGTCATGGCATGGAGTTGGCTTGGAAAGAAGGCAGGGAATCGGGAGACAGCTGACTAGGAAGGACGTGGCACCCCTCAGAAAGATCTGGCAAACACCAAGTTAGCACACCTTTTCTCCATAACTGAACTTCGTGAAGACACTAGTCATGGCACTTACCCTGAAGATGTCGTCTTCGGAGGCAGCGGACACAGCCTCCTTCATAGCCTTGTCCAACTCTTCCTCAGCGGTGAGATCCCCAGAGATGGCCCGTCGGATCTCGGGCCCAATGTCATGCAATGTGCGCAAGCCAGCCTGGAATCCAGAGGGACATGTGAAGACCCAGGTCCTTTTCACCAATCTTTAGTCAGCCAGGACCCTGTTGCTCCTCCACAAGTCCCTGCCTCTCTGTTTCTCTGCCAGGCAGCTGGGCACCCACACTAGGAGACGGGCTTCTCTGGACCCCCATCCCCACCTCACCCAACCACGCTAGAGCAGAAGAACCTATTCCTCTACCTAGGAGGAATGAAGGCATATTACAGACTACCAAGAATCTGCTGACTCAGGAGCAGAGGGCTAAGAGGACTGGGGGCTGGGAAGGCTGGCAGGACGGTTGAGGGAAGGATGTGGGCAAGGATGCATAAGGGGAAGATTGCCTTTTCATCACCACTTTCAGGGAGGTTTAGAGAGCTCACAAGCTTTCTTGGGATGGGACCTGGCCTCTAGGTAGCTGGGCAAGACTTGGACTCTGGCTAGGGTCAAAGGGAGGTGACCAAGCCCTGAGTGTGGGTACCTCCCTTCATCCCCTCACCTGCAGGGACAGTGCGTTCCTCTGAGAAGGCTTGCCCACCAGCCCCTGCTCTTTTCGCTTCTTGAATTTTCGGAAGTACTCTTGGATCAGGAAGGTGGCATAGAACTTGCCGACTGTGACCTCATCATCTAAGACACACAGAGAGAAGAGGATGAGCGATTCTGCCAGAACTCCTTGATTGTTTGCAGCACCGAAAGCTTCTCTAACATATTTGCTTCAATTTCTTAGTGCAAAAGCAAACATGTAAAGAGGCATATGGCTGAAAACTCCCCACATCCCTGCCTGCTTGCTTACCACCTCTTGACAGCTTGTCACGCCACCAGTTTCTTGAGTGCTTTTCCAGAAATAAGCAAGCATGTTCATATCCTCTTTTTTCAAAAATATTTTCTTCTCTCATATATTACATCTCAACCTCAATTTCCCCTCCCTCTACTCCTCCTAGGCCCTAGCCCTCATCCCCTGTCTGCTAGATCCATGCCTCCATTTCCCTTCAGAAAAGGGAAGGCCTCCCAGGGATATCAACTGAACATAACATAATAGGTTACAATAAGACTAAGAACATCCCCTCATATTAAAGTTGGATGAGGCAACCCAGTAGGAGTAAAAGGGTCCCAGGAGCAGGCGAAAGAGTCAGAGACAGCCCTGCTTACACTGTTAGGAGTCCAGCAAGAACACCAAGCCACACAATCATAAATATACGTGGAGGACCTGATTCAGACCCATGCAGGCTTCAGTCTGTGAGTCCCTGTGGCCCTGCTTAGCTGATTCTGTGGGCCGTGTTCTTGTGGTGCCCTTACCCCTCTGGCTCCTACAATCCTTCTTTCCCCTCTTCCTTTTTAATTAAGACAAGATCTCCCCATCTTGTCCAAGTGGCCTTCAATTCCTGGGATCAAATGACTTATTCCCTCCTGAGTAGCTGAGACCAGAAGTGTATGCTGATGTCTATGCCTGGCTGTTTTTGTCTCATTTTCCCCCTCACAGAAAAGGAAGGTTATTATCAAGGTTACTTCCCACTTTGCTTTTCCTACCATCTTGAATGGACATTACTAAGTCTTGTTTGATCCCACTTACCACCAAATGACCAGTCTCCTAATTGCCAACACAATTCTAATTGGGTGAGATGGGCTAGTGGCAGGGGAGTCTTCCTTTAAGGTTGGCAATTTCCCTTCCAGCCAACTCGCTGGCTTAGACCATGTGTCCATGCTGGGCTGGGCACACAAGACTACACATGACATGGTCTTGATCTTAGGAATGAGCTAAATGTTAGGAAAGTCCTCAGGGGGAGTATTTCATGGAAATCAAGTGGTCCCTTCATCTACTTTCCTGCTCTGTGTGAGAAGAACAGATGGTTGGCCTGGGCCTTAGGACCTGCAATGGCTTTCCTGTCCTCACTGTCCTTTAGAGTAGCCGACTCTACAGAAGCTCTGGGCTTACCACAGGGCAGGGTCTCATTTCCACACCTGGAAAACCCTGGAGATCCCTGACGAGGGATTTGGGAATGAACTTGGGAGTCCTGTGTTTGCTCAGGCCTGAGTCGGATGCCTGAGTCTACACTGTACCCACTGGGAAACCCACATAGCTTCTACGAACATCATTTCCTGGAGTGAACGTCATAAAGATGAAGCAGCAAAGCATTAGGTGACACAGGCTGACTCCTAGCACACCCTGCCTTCCCCTTTGGACGGAGTCTCAAACAGGAAGTCTCACCTCCAAAGGATGTTTCCGGAATCTGTAGGCTCAACTAACATGTTAATAGGATGTAAACGACACATGTAAAGTGTTGACAGTATTCAGTGCTGTCTTGCTCACGTTCAACAGTTACTCCTGTTCAGTGTGAGGGTCTCATCAGTATTATAGCTTTCTGTATGGGTGTACCAGGCATCTCTACAGTGAATGCATTTTCTTTTAAACCACCTCATTTTAAAGCATTCTACTAGTGCTGTGGGAATTACAAGTGCAGGCAGGGTACCTATGAATTTGACTTGGGATTGCAGGAGAGATGGTGTGAAGTACTTGCTATGGAAGGAGGCTTGTGGCCTGACAGGCATGAGAAATGCTACTCTAGGGAAAAAAAAGAGCTTTTAAAAAGATGGGATGAGTCTCAGGCAATTTTCCTTCCAGAACTCTAGAGCAACTCTAGAGCAGTCAGCCCAGTGGTTTATGGATAAATCTATACCCATATATGGTAGAGTTCCCACGAAAGTTCTGCCAAATTCCTAAGCATGGAAGGGCTTGCCTGTTCCCAGGGTGAATGTGGCATTACAGCAGGTTTCTAACGGGATAGTTTACATCCAAGCTTGTGTAGGACATAACAACCAAGTAGGGCCTCTGAGTCCATGGAATGGTCCAGAGAAAGAAGGATCCAGAAGCACGGAGGACTCAAGCATGGAAGTCTCAAGGGCTGTCTGCACTGCCAAAGCTGGCATAGCTAGAGAAGGTGGAGAAGCCCTACAGGCTGGGCTAGAGTAGCCCTGGTCTGGAAATGCAGGGAACACTCACCACCTGCAGGGGGCACCACCTGGTCCAACAGCTTCATGCTGGTCCTCTTCCAGATTTTCTTGATGATGGCCCGCAGCTCCTCATTGGCTTGTTCTAGGTTTCCTGATAGAAGGAAGTGTAGACTGAAAACACCCTTGCTCCCGACTGCACTAGGAAGCCCCACAAGTCACCTTGACTCATCACATTCTGCTCCCCAATCTTCCTATTTTCTAGTTCCTTCCATTTTCCCTTCCCAGATCTCTTTACTTACTTCCTTTCCTGTGACCTTCCTCTTATGTCTTGTCCAACGCTATTCTCTTTCATTTCCTACTCCACTGTAAGACAGCTCAGAGCCCATCCCCAGTCCCCAGCTGTGTTCCCTCCTGCTTAGTGCTGAAGAGTCTGACAGTGCCTGCAGACACTCATGTTTCAGCTCTGATCCGTTTGCACTGCAGGGCAGCATCAAGGCTGACCCTGAGGCTGACATTTTCAATGACCTCTGTGGTGACCCAAAGGGAGTGGCACTATTAGGAGGTATGGCCTTATTGAAGTAGGTGTGGTCCTGTTGGAGGAAGTGTGTCACTTTGGGGATGGGCTTTGAAATCTTTTTCTCAAGCTTCACTCAGTGTGTCAGTCAGTTGACTTCCTGTTGCCTGCAAGATGTAGCATTCTCAGCTTCAGCACCACATCTGCCTGCATGCCACCATGCTCCCTTTCATGACCCTAATGGATTGAACCTCTGACACTGTAAATGAGCCACTCTCGATTAAATGTATCCTTTATAAGAGTTGTCATGGTCATGGTGTCTCTTCACAGCAATAGTAAACCCTAAGACAGAAGTTGGTACCAAAAGTGGGGAATTGCTGTGCTAAGCCTGACCATGCTTTTGTATGGAGGAATGAGGACTTTGGAACTCTGGGTCAGGCAAGCAGCAGAATGCTGTAAGCACTGTTTACTTGGACATACTAGTAAGAGCATGAAAGACAATAGTTTGAAATGTCAAAAGCTGGCGCAAGAGGCTCCAGAGAAGACTTTTAGTATATTGTCTGGAAATTGTTCTTGTGATATTTTGGTGGAGAGAGTAGCTCCCTTTTGCCCTTGTCCAAATAATCTCCCTGAGATTAAAGTGAAGAGTTTTGGATTAATTACCATAATAGGAGAAATCTTAAAACAGCCTAGTATAAACTCTGTTGTGTGGTTTTTAGTGGCAACTCTAAAGAATATTTATAATGAAAAGGAGCAAGCTGAACAGGGTAAATTACAAAATGTAAATTCTGAGGAGCTAAAGAGCATCAGGAAGAGGAATGGACCTAAATCCTTTGTTCAAGGAGATAAATGGATTGAGAAATGAAATAAAGGGAGTGGTGTACTCAGGACAAGATCCTACCCAGATAAGTTCCCAACTTGTGGAATGGAATAAATGAAAGTTTAGAGCCATGGGTGTTGGTGTAAACCTTTAATACCAGTACTGAGAAGGCAGAGGCTGGTGGATCTCTGAGTTTGAGACCAGCCTGGTCTAAACAGCAAGTTCAAGGACAGCCAAGCTTAGGCAGTGAAGGAAAACAGAAAGCTGGTGAAGATGTAGTTTAACATGGGGGCCATGTTTTAGCTCCAGTAAGCAGCAGAACTTGGCAACTTTGGCCACATGGATCTGGCTTTAGCATTAAGGATAGAAGAAATGGGTTATGGAATTTGCCTCTGCACCCAAAGAAAGCCACTGAGGCCAGGAATGTGTCAGGGGTGTCCCTGAATGGAGGCCTAGTAGGGAGGCCATAGACAGAAGCTGTGAAGTTGAAGCCTGGATTGCCTTGGAGAACCCAAGATGTTGGGGATACCAGAGTCTTGGGATACCTGACAAAGAGAGCTGATCACAGGGAGTGGAACCAGCCCAAGAGAAAGAAGTGTGTTGCAGTCAACAAAGCTGAATGGAGTTGGAGATCTGAAGAGTGCTGACATCACACATGGAGATGCAGAGTTGGAGTTTTCACAGCTGTTTTTCGGTCTTGCTTTGGTCCAGTATTTCCTGCTATGCTCCCTTCCCTGTGTTTTGAAATGGTAATGCATATCCTGTGGCATTATATGTTGGAAGAATGTGATCTGATATTTGAGTTTGAATTTTACAAGTGATTACAGTTAAGAGATTGTCATGCTTCCCAGAAGAGACTTTGGACTTTGAAATAAGTTTGAGACTGTTATAGACTATGGGGAATTTTGAAGTTGGACTGAATACATTTTTGCATTATGATATAGCTATCAGCCTTTGGGGGACAGGGAGTGGAATAAGGTGGTTTGAAAGAAAATAGCCCCAGAGACAGTGGCACGAATAGGAGGCATGGCCTTATTGGAGTAGGTGTGGTCTTGTTGGAGGAAGTGTGTCAGTGAGGGGGTGGGCTTTGAGGTCTTTTTCTCAAGCTTCACTCAGTGTGACAGTCAGTCTACTTCCTGTTGCCTGCACTATATAGCACTCTCAGCTTCGGCGCCAAGTCTATCTGCACGCCACCATGCTCCCCTTCATGACCATAATGAACTGAACCTCTGAAACTGTAAGTGAGCCACCCTCAATTAAATGCTTCCTTTCTAAGAGTTGCTGTGGTCCTGGCATCTCTTCACAGCAACAGTAAACCCTAACTATGACAACCTCCTTGTGCAGTTGCAGGAAACAGAGATGTTTTGATGGAAGGATGATCCACTCCTGCCCCACACATACACAACACAGGGGCACCCATGTGTCCAGAGGATCTCTGCTGAATCTCCCAGGGGAGGAAGTAGAAAAAACTAACAGTGGAGGCAGAGACCTGAAGACCTATGCTCTGGCAGTTTGGATTGATGCATGCTGCCTGGGACATGCAAAGTTAAAAAGTAATCATAAGAGGAGATGTGCTTGATAGGATTCCAGGGTTCTCCCAATGATACCTGCCCCTTGCTACCAGTGTGCACGCACTGTGTAATCCGTGGAGGGACTGCACACCAACAGAAGTGGGAGGATTTCAGCCACAGTCTGAATGGGCTTAGCAGTGATACCTTCTCCTGGTTTAACTAGTGTACCTAGTTTGGTTTTGACAGTCCCTGAGTAGAGCACCCTACTTCTCCATATCTGGATTTCTGACAGAACTGTGAATTAGTAACTGGGTGTTCTTCAGAGCTGTGGAGTTTATGGGGTTTGTTGCATAGCACTGGGAAGAGGATATGGCTGGCAGTAACATCTATCATATAGGAGCTGATGGCGAACAATGTGAGCTATGGGGTCAGACTGCCTGAGTTCAAACCCAGCCATGGACTGGTGTGTGTGAGCAAGCAGAGGCACTCATGAGGACTGCCTCTGCTTAAATGATGGCTCCTGAACATGCTGAGCACCAAATTCAGACTGCAGCTGAAGCCAGAACACCTCCTGGCCATTCCAACATTGGTTCCCTTCACTAAAGATCATTCATAGCTCCTTTTTTTGTTTGTTTTCTGAAACAAGAGCTTATTATGGATCCGCAATTTGCCTCAAACTCATAATCTTCCTGTGTTGGGCTTCCAAATGCTGGGATTACAGGCATGTCCTGCCATGCCATCCTGGACTTGGTTTCTGACACACGCAGTGAAAGAATCCTGACTATAACAATATGCAAGTGAACTTATCTTCTGTATTGGGTTGAAAGGAGCACCCCGAAACTCACGTCTACCTGAAAACTCAAAATGTGAATTTATCTAGTGTGGTAGTTTGAATGTAATTGGCCCTCGTAAGCTCATAGGGAGTTGGCACTATTAGTAGGTGTGGCCTTGTTGGAGGAAGTGTGTCAGTGTGTGGGGTGGATTTTGAGGTCTCCTCTGTGTGGACACTTGGTTCACTTCCTGCTGTCTTCAGATCAAGATGACTCTCAGCTCCTTCTCCAGCACCGCGTCTGCCTGCACGTAGTCATACTCCTAGCTGCCATGCTCCCTGCCGTGGTGCTAATGGATTAAACGTCTGAAACTGTAAGCCATCACCTCAATTAAATGTTTTCTTTGTAAGAGATGCTGTGGTCATGGTATCTCTTCACAGCAACCGAAACCCTAAGATGGAAGTCGGTACGGGGAGTAGGGTGTTGTTGTGACAGACCTGACCACACTTTTGTTTAAAGGAACATAGACCTTGGGACTGCAGGCTAGAAAAGCAGTTGAATGCTTAAAGTGCCACTTTATAGGCCATACTAGTAGGAGCATGAAAGACCATGGCGCTGAATAAGGTCCGAGGAACTGTGGGGCCGGGCTTAGGAGGTTCCGAGGAGAATTTTAGTGTATTGGCTAGAGATTGTTCTTGTGGAATTTTGGTGAATAATGTGACTGCTTTTCACCCTTGTCCAAAAAGTGCCTGCAACTAAACTGAAGAATTTTGGATTAATTTCCTTGGGAGAAGAAATCTCAAAACAGCCTAGTACAGACTCTGTTGTAAGGTTATTAGTGTTAGCTCTAATGAAGATTTATAATGAAAAGGAGCAAGCTCAGAAAGTGAAAATGCAAAATGTACAATCTGAGGAGAAAAATAGCACCAGGAAGTAGAATGGAGCTTAATCTATGTTCAAGGGAACAACAAATTAAGAAATGGACTAGGTCATACTAGGTCATACTAGGTCATACTGTGAAGAGGGTGGCAGAGACTAAGGGATGGAGCCAGGTACCTGAGACCACCTGAAGCCAGAGAGACATGGAGCCCATTCTCCCTCAAGGCCTCTGGAAAGAACCAGCCTGTCAACACCTTAGTTTGGGTGGTTCCTCTCTTAAATTGTGAGGGGAATCAAGCTGGTGATCATTTAGTTAGACCTAAGGAACAAATATATCTTCCAAAGGATCCTACACATTTTTAGGCTTTCCTTCATTTTCTTAACAACTCAATGTGACTGGAATTTCACCAATAATTGTTTCATATTGTAAATGTTTTATTTTTATTGTTCTGTTTTTGGCGCTGGGGTCTGAGTCTTGGGCCTTGTGCATGTTAGGCACCTGCTCTACCACTGAGCTACATTCCAAACTCTAATACCTACTTCCTTCAGTGATACCTGGCTTGGGATAAGGTTTCTGGTTCTCAGGGTACATGTTAATTTTTTTAATTACTTCCACTTCTTATAACTGCCTGATGGGTGAGTGAAGACTGATCTGTCTTATCTCTATAAATGCTGATGTTTTCTCCCATCTCTTGTCTGACTGTGGTGTTGACTCCCGGTCTTATGGAACAAGTTCATAAAGGGCCTGTTTTGGATGAAGGTTCATTCTTGAATACTAGAGTATTACATGCCCTTGGCAGATATTCCCAAGAGTCTTTATGTTTAAGTGCTTTTCTTTAATTCTTAATTAACTGTATGTCCCACTGGCTGGCTTCTCCCTCAGGCATCCCCATTTGCTAACAGTGGTTATCTGTGGTTGAGTGTTTGGCAACCCTTCAGGTACTGGCATTATTTCATCGAGATCTGGTTTGCCTGTGCAGCGCATCTTCAGCATCACTAAATCTTGGCTGCTATGCACATATCCTTTTTATTCCTTCCTGGAGCCAAAACCCACAGTATTAGTCTCTCTCAAGTCTTAAGTATCACAACATACTCCTTCTAGCAGGCATTCGGTCTTTTCTCCTTGGAAAAGGAAATCCTTCCCTGGGAATTGAAAGGAAGTAATATTTACTGTAGAAAATCTGGAAAGATCAGAGCTTAAAGAAGAATGTTCCACTACACAGTGATATTCAGTATTAATTTATCAGCAGACATACTTCCAGTTTTGTCTGTTATATACATGTGTGCATTAAGCATGTATTGGATTCTCTCATCAGCAACAGGCCTATCTATATCTACCCCCAGAATGAAGTTTTGCACTAACCACTAATGGATTTTTTTTTGCCTATGCTTTTTTTAATTTACCAGGAAAATTTGATCTATTTTTCTTTATTAAAGTTTGGCTCATTATCTTGACTTGTATCTTGCAGGATTGGTTTTTGGTTCCCTCATGTCTGTTACTCTCTGGAAAAGTACAACTAAAGAAGCCACCTCTCTGAGTGACCCTGTGAAATAAATGCCAGGTGTCACCACCTTTCATTATTTCACAATATGGAAACCGAATCGAGGCAGTAAGTAGTTACACAATGCTGTGTCCTGTTGTATGAGATGCCCAGTGCCCTTCCACTGTACCCAGGACCCTGGCCGGAAGCCTGGGGCCCTCAGGTTGCACTGGTGGTGTCGATCTCTAGTTCATACATGAGACGTGTATGCAGCTATCTCCAAATGCAGGTTCTCATGCTCTCTCTCAGACATGTGGAGTCATAGATGCACTCAATGCTTCAATGTAGCCTTCAGAGCATCTCACGATTCTGAGGCCTTTGCTCACTCTTACGAGGTACCTAATCTGGGTCTTAGGTACCCAGCAGCATCTTTGGAGGTGTGTACACACAGCCTATCCCAGAGCAGTTCAAAGTACTTATCAGTGAGATGACAAGAGATGCCTTCAACAGGACTGCTTCTAACCCAAAGGGCAGCTCTTGGCCCTCTGTTGTATGCCGTCTGAGGGGTTACCATCTAAGTAGTAGCTTAGCTCATGTAGGATTGTAACCTTTAGCAATTGCAGGCAATGACCTCTATTTACCACAGTCACTGCTTGTCACTGTCACCTTTCTAACATAGGTTCTTTTAATTTCAGAAGAGATTTGAATGTTTGGGAGACAGGCCTGTTGCTAATACAACTCCATCAGTATGGGGCTTGGTCCTGCTCTGCGTAACAACCATCTCTTCAGTGTTTTGCATTAAACCTTCAGTCTTCAGGAGGTTACCACGGCAATTTCTAGGGTTTGGTGGAAAAGAAAAGTTCAAAATGAATAAGCTATGGCAAGGGGGACATTTAGGAACCAAAGAAGATGTAAGCATGGTGGTGCACCTCTTGGAGAGTCAGTGTGCAGGCTCTTGATGTTATTCTGCTCTGATGCTGTGTAGGCAGGAGCATCTTCCTGGTGGAGATGCTAGACCTTCCTACGCACCCTCCTCCCAGTGGTCCACGAGAGCTGTTACCTTCTGTTTTGATCCTCAGGGCTGTCCTGACCAGGGCAAACAGGGTAGCATTGAACATGACTGTCCCATCGCTGTTCAGAGGCATGTTCATGGACACCAGGCGCTGGAGGGAGAAGGAGGCTCAATCAGTGACAAGGACAGGCAGTTCTTAAAGGCTCTGCACAAGCCTTGTGGCAGGGAGGCTGGGAGGTCCCTGGAAACTTGGATGGGTGCTGTTGGGAGTGGGAGGGCTACGTATGTGGTCACCACAGTGTTTCCAAAGCTTTTCCAGGGAGAAACTAGGCTTTAACGTAAGAACTCTTGTGCCTCTACATTCCTTAGACCCTTGGTTCCACAATGGGTTCCTTCCTGTTCTGTGCTCGGGTTTACAGATACAGCGATGCTATCTTCTAGCAGAAAGAACGGCCATCTGCCTGTCAAACAGAATTATCCAACTCCAAAGCAAAAGAATAGGAGATGGCTATGTGGGGATAGAGTCTCTCTCTCTCTCTCTCTCTTTCTCCCCCCCCCCCAATATCCCTACTTCAGTCCTGGTCCCAAATTCACCACCCAAACAGAATTCTGTTGTTCTTCATCCCCAAACATGCTCCCTTGGTCTCCTCCTCCTCCCTTGGTGAGCCAGCAGCACACACAGGAGTCATCGGGAGAAAGAACAGTATGATGCCCACTGTAGATGGCAGTGGTGTCATCCCTTAGACCACATGGCACCTTCCTGTGGATGTCCTGTCAAGGGTTGTATTTTTCCCAAGTTAATGCATCATTGCGAATCTTGTAGACACCAAGGTAAAAAGCGTGAGTCTTGGCTTTTCGCCCTGACAGACCCACGTGGCAGTCATGACCTGTACACTCCAGCTCCCTCTAGACTGTTTGATCTTACATTTGAGCTGTACTTCCTACAGCTTGAATCCTAAATGTCATCCAAAGGCCATGGCATAAAAGCTCAGTTCCCAGCCTCAGTACTCTTGGGAAGTGGTGGATCCTTCAGGAGGTGGGGCCTAGTGAGAAGAAGTTATGGGAAACCATGCCCTTGAGGTGGGTATTAGAATCTTGGTCTTTCTTTCTTTCTTTCTTTCTTTCTTTCTTTCTTTCTTTCTTTCTTCCTTCCTTCCTTCCTTCCTTCCTTCCTTCCTTCTTTCTTTCTTTCTTTCTTTCTTTCTTTCTTTCTTTCTTTCTTCCTTCCTTCCTTCCTTCCTTCCTTCCTTCCTTCCTTCCTTCCTTCCTTCTTTCTTTCTTTCTTTCTTTCTTTCTTTCTTTCTTTCTTTCTTTCTTTCTTTCTTTCTTTCTTTCTTTCTTTCTTTCTTTCTTTCTTTCTTTCTTTTTTTCTACTTGTTTCCTTCTGAGGCCCTTAGGTGTGCTTCTTTCTCAACTGTAACATTCCAAAGCTGCTACAAACCCAAAGCTCAGGCCTGATGATCACAGACTGAAGCCTCCAAAACGGTCAGTCAACTTTTTTTTTTTTTTTTAACACAGGTTGAGCAACCGGGTACTTGTCACAGCATCAGGAAACAGAATGACAGAATGCTCCTGTTTCTCACATTTTCAGGACTCTTGGAGTTCTTTCTGGAATAAAGTGAGGTTCTGATGAGGGGAATCGAATTACCACAGAGCATAAATAAACTCCATTTCTCACAGATGGGTTATCCAAGGAGCCCAATTATTGGCCATTGTGTTTCTTCTTCTCTATGGCTCTGCTCTCTGCTATGGCTTTCCTCAGCTCTTTCCAAGCTCATCATAATTCTCACTGGAAACCCAGGATGGGGAGAACGGAGGCGGGATGGTGACCAAAGCCAGCTCTTCTCAGCAGCTACTGGGCCACGTGGCAGGACCTAGAGCAGGTATAAGGATCCCTCCTCTCCAGGTCAGTCAGAGGCTGTTTATCAGCACCCAACATGTTTGTTCCAGTCGGTTCAGGATCACAGATTCATTTAGGAATTTGATAAAAAACAGCGGGTGAACAACTTTACCTTGTGTAGGTAAAGTCTGTATTTTGGGGACGATACATCACCTGTGGCCTCTCTAACAGTTCTCTGACTTCAGGTCAAAGTTTCTAGTCCATCACCCTAGGTTAGGAGAGTCTCCTAGGCCTGGGCCGTGCAGCCTGAGGGGCCAAATAAGCCCTTTATCCACACAGGATATCTGTTTCCCTCACTGGGGAACAAGGGATTCATTGTGACAGTTGTTCTTTTATAGCCTTGGGACTTTAGCTCTGGAAGGTCCTTAAAATAGAATCTGGTTCACATTTATTTCTTTAAATACCTAAAATATCTTTATTCCCTAAATAATCACAAAGGCAAACAGGTATCCAGCTTCCCATATTTGTCCTCTCCCCTCAGTAGCCCAGGACATTTCTTACTTTGCAGGCCACACGGTGTGGACACAGCTTCCCAAAACCCAAGGGGGGCTGAATTCGACGGAGGAGGGTCACCACATCCAAGTGTTTGATCCGACCCCTAGAGAAGGAAGGAGAGAAGGAAAGAAAGTTAGAAGCCCAGGGCTTGTGTATTGGGGTGGGGCCAGATGTAGGGGCATTCCCTGCAGGGTCCCGGGAGGCCCTGGGCAGCGCAGAGATCCATTATAGAACGGCAAACCCCTGGCGCACGTTACTGTTCTCATTCCAGGAAGTTTATTAGTGCTGTGCTCCAGGTAGAAAGGATTCTAGTAGTGCCATTAAGTCCCAGGATGTATTTGTTGCTCAATCAACTAACCATTGGGCCAGAAGGCATTTTAGGGATACTCAGTTAACAGTTGCTGGTAAACGAGTTTCCATAAACTTGAGGTCAAGATGACACTGAAATCTACCTAATCATAAACGACCCATTTATGATTACTAGTTTCATCTGACGTTAGAATTTTTTACTTTTGGGGCTGGAGAGATGGCTCAGTGGTTGAGAGCATTGCCTGCTCTTCCAGAGGTCCTGAGTTCAGTTCCCAGCGGCCACATGGTGGCTCACAACCGTCTGGGATGAGGTCTGGTGCCCTCTCTGGCCTGCAGACATACATACAGACAGAATATTGTATACATAATAAATAAATAAATATTTTAAAAAAAAAAGAATTTTTTACTTTTTCCATTCAGCTGATATGCTCACCAGGTGTAAGAATGGTACCTGGCCTCCTCCTGCTGGCCTTTGACTCTGGGTCTGATACATTCCAGGGTTTTCAGTTGTTAGTACCCTCAATGTTGACCCCTCTTGGATCTCTTCAACAGGTCCCTCAGCCCCTTCTCAGCTTGGGGGGCTTGGGGTTTCCCCTCAAGGAACTTACTTGGCTTCGGGGTCATACTCGGCCCAGATTCTTTTGAATTCATCCAGATGGTGGGGACCAAGGATAGACCAGTCCCGTGTCAGGTAGTCAAAGTTGTCCATGATAACAGCTACAAAGAGGTTGATGATCTGCAGGGAACAGTTGGTACACTAAGGGGCTTTGCCAAGACTCTTACACATTCGCTGCCTAAGCCCACTTTACCAGCCAGTGCCCAGGTAAGCCAGAAACCAACGTTTCTAAGTATCAGCAATACATTTAGGATGCCAACTGCTAGAATCTGGGTCTCCTGGCCATGAGCTTAACACTATTCTCCTGAGCGTCAGGAGGGATGAATCCTACGTGTAAACAGAACAATTTCCTTTGTACCAAGTTACCAGGGACAGGGAGGGGCTTTGTCTGGTCTCCTTTCCCTCGCTCCTGAGCAAGGTATCAGAGACATATAAGTCCACACAGGGCTTCTATACACCTTTGTCTTCTAGAACAACGCTACCCTGACAAGAGCCATGAATGGACAGGAGCAGAGATGCTCTGTGCCAAGACTTCTGCCATTGCCCTGACCCCACACTGCCCGGAAACTGCCCACTGATGAGTCCCGTCTCAGCTTACCAGGAAGGCACAGAGCATGTAGAAGCTGATAAAGTAGAAGACGGCAAAGCTGCTGCCACAGGGTGTCTCCCCTTCCGTGCTGTTGCCCGGCTCGGACTCTGGGGCACACTTCTTGCCCGGCATACAGGCCAGCATGATATCCTGCCAGGCTTCCCCGGTGGCACACCTAGACAAGAGAGGCAAGAGAGTCCAACCTCAGCTGGACGCTGTCACCCATGCAGGCAAAGCTGCCTCCGCCTCACCTCCCAGGAGGAATTGCTAAAAGGAATTGAGCATTTGGGGCTCACTGGGCGTGGATCGTCATGTTCACTAAATATGGAAATACAAAGCATTGTTTCAGGAAGTTCCTGAGGACTTGTTCTCTTATCTATGTGAAGTTTTTAGATGCAGCCAGGAAGACATATTTTAGCTATAGTTCACTTTCACTGCTACACAGGAGCACCCTCCATGTGTATGTTAAAATGTCCACCCTTGCCATGTGAGATTGTTTTGGCTGTCACAGCTAACACTGCAGCAAGCATGCAGGTCCATGTCTTGGGTGTCTCCTCAGGAATGCGACTACCATGTGGAGATGCTTCATGTCTTCATCTTTACCAGGTGGCACTTGTCTGGCTTAGACCAGCGTCACTGCAGACATATCAGCTCTATTTTTAGAGACTTTTAAAGAATGTTCCTCAGATGGTAGTGTGGAGTGATATGTCACTACTAATCAAATTTGGCTTTTCTGGGCCAGCCTGGGCTATATGAGGTCCTATCTAAAAAAGAAATAAAATAAACATCTTTCTTTAAAATGCTTTTAAAACGATTAGTAGGTTGGGAGTTTTGATTCTGCCTCCTCTTGACTGCATGCTCATGGCTTTGCCCCTGTGACTCATGGGCTGTGTTTCTTCTTGTTTATTCAAGGAGTCCTTGGCATGGCCACATGAATTCCTTTGTTAGCTACATCCACTACAAATGTCTCATTCCAGATATGGCTTGTCTCTAGCTTAACTCATTTTAATTCCTATATTCATTTGCTCTGTCTGGAGTGCCACCACCCCTGCTGAGGTTCTCAGTTCAGGACCCATGCTCTCAAGGCAGGGACGTTACCCACATCTACTACCCCAGCCCATCCTTCTCATATTGCTGCACTGGATAGAGCTTTCAACAAAATACTGGCTAGAAAAAGTGATGGCACAATGTGTCTATTGTATTTATTAATTGGCTCTCACAAGCTGGGGGTTTTCTCGCTGGCTCTCCCACCTCACTGATCCTCCACACTGTCATAAAGTTGATTTGCTTCCATTTTCTGCCTGAATTAGCCTTTGTCTTCAGATGGCAGAACCCCACCCTGTAGTGTTCGTGACTTCTGCCTTCTCTTTAAAAACAAAATAATCAGTACTAGTTCATCTTCTCAGCTGAGTCAGGAGGTTCCCGCCTCTTTCTATTTCTGAGAGTTTGGATGACTCGGAATGACTTAGTGCTGGATCACAGATGAAAACACAGCAGCGTGGGTCTTGTCAAGACTGTGATTTTGACAACAATCTATTGGAGCTGATGCTACTCATTTATTGAGAGCATTTTGGTGTTAAAATTAGCACTAATCTGGGGGCTAGAGAGATGGCTCAGAGGTTAAGAGCACTGGCTGCTCTTCCAGAGGTCCTGAGTTCAATTCCCAGCAACCATATGGTGGCTCACAACCATCTGTAATGAGATCTGGCGCCCTCCTCTGGCGTGCGGGCATACATCGAGGCAGAATGTTGTATACATAATAAATAAAGAAATCAAAAAAAAAAAATTAGCACTAATCTGCACCTGGCAGGGAAGGCCGCTTCCTCTGATAAGCTGGAACTAACAGACGTGCTCACATTGATCTGTGTGAATAAGTAGCAGTCCAGAAAACTATACTCGGACATTTTTTCAAAGAATAATTTTTTCTTTAAATTTAGAGTAGTTTCTTGGTTTATCAAGGCTTTTCCAGTTAATAGCACTACTATCATGATCAATCTATTGCTGCCCAAATATTCCTGGGTGTGTGGTCTATCCACTGGAGCAACATTTTTCTTAACAAAATTTTTATAATCCGTATTTTCCTAGATAAAAGCATGTACTTCAGCTGGGCATAGTGGCACACACCTTTAATCCCAGCACTTTTGAGATGGAGACAGAGGCATGCAGATCTCTGTGAGTCTGAGGCCAGCCTAGTTTACACAATGAGTTCCATGCTAGTCAGGAATAGGCAGAGAGACCCTGAATTAATAATAATAATAATAATAATAATAATAATAATAATAATAATAATAATTTAATAATGAAGCACCTACTTTATTTAGATTCTCTAACAGATTGGCATAAATTTGTTCATAGTACTTTGTGTTTTAGTTGTTGAATTTTGTTGTTGCTTGCTTCTTTCTCAAGGTCTGATCTTATTTTGCAAACCCTCAATTTGACTGGCCTTGGTCAGAAGTAGAGACAGATGGATGGTGTCAGAGAGAAGAGCCCTATCGCTTGGCAACTGATTCCTGGCTTCCCTGGTTTTATCCATTTTTTTAGTGTATTTTGGCATTTTGCCTTTTCCGTCTTTCCTCCTTCCTTCCTTTCTGTTTTTTTTAAGTATGTTGTTTCTCCTAGAGCATCAGGCTAGTGTTCACGTTGCAGGACACCGGAGGGAAGCAGGATTCAGACTCCTAGGTGCTCTGGTCCAGGGTATTTTACATTCTTTCTTTGTGGGCCTCTTCACAAAATATTGGTGAAGATAACGTTAAAGAGACTGAAATGTTTGTGTATCTTGCCAACTTTGGGGTCCAGATAATGAGATGGTCAGGAATATCCTTCTGCCTTTTCCTCAAAGTAACCAAAAGCAGGATACAAGCAACCTGGGGTAGGATTTGCATACGCTTTTCTCCGGCACACATTGGTCCACAGTAACAGGAAGGCCCACTCCTCGGTGCAGGAAAGCAGCCCTGCTTCGGTATGCGGCCATTCTCTCATTTATTCAGTGCGCACAGCCTCTCAGCGACCTGAGTGTCAGAGGCCGCTTCTGCAGCCACATGCTCCTTGTACAAAGTTTGTGTTCACTGCCTGCTTTAAAGAATTTCTGGCAGCCAGTGGCCAGAAAGATGTGTAGCTTCCTTCACTCAGAAGTAGGTGATCACCTCAGAGATGAGGTAAAAATGAAACACGAAATTCATTCATCATTCTAAAAACCATTTCCACACCCAGTTATGCTGAACCCCCATGCTTGTGCTTTTATTAGTGTTTAAATTTAATAAGTGCATTGCTGGGTCCAGGGGTAGGTTGATCCCGAATTTCCTGAGAAACCGAAACACTGATTTCCAAAGTGGTTGCACAAGATTGCATTCCCACCAGCAATGGATGAGGGTACCCCTTCCTCCACAACCTCTCCAGCAAAGGCTATCATCGGTGCTTTTGATTTTAGCCATTCTGACAGGTGTGAGATGATATCTCAAAGTTGTTTTGATTTGCATTTCCCTGATTGCTAATGAGGTTGAGCATGACCTTAGGTGTCTTTTGG